TGATAGATAAAATATTATGAAATATGATGACTAAAAGAAACGAATCTTGATAGACATTGGCTGGGACCATGATCACCTTTGAGTAGACATTTTCTACTAAGTAGTATCAATGATGAAATGTAGCATTATTATTAGAAAAGAAGGAATAAAAACTGTCAGTTTCCCTGGCTTTTTCTGTATAAATATTGTTTCATTAGAAATTGTGCTTTTATAAATTTAAGAGAAAATTCTTATGAATTTATTTTATAAAAAGATAATAGTAGGAAAATAAATTCTGAGGCAAACTCCAGAATCACAGAGATCAAAAAAGACTTTATTAATCAGAAACATTCTAATCATGGATACTAATAATACTTATTAATTTAGTCACAGTACAAAACACTTCAGTGCTATTAAGTAAGATCATACTATTGTGGCGCTAGTGTCCAGAATTTTTTTCATGTTGGAAAACTAAATTTCATATCTAGTAAACATCTACACACTCCATCACTTCCCCACTTCAAGCTCCTGTTAAGAACAGCTCAAGAATCTGTCACAATAAATCGACGGTTCTAGGTACTCGATGTTTGTGCAATCGTGAGGAATTTGTCTTTCTGTGACTTATTTTCTTCACATAGCAGAACATCCTAAGAGTTCACCCATGTATGGTGTATTCCCTATGCTGAATTGTACTCTATTGCTTTTACAAGTCATGTCTTGCTTCATCCATTTATGGATGCCCATGTGGCTTCCATCTTTTGGTTATAGTAAGTCATGCCGCTGTGGGGTTCTGAATAGATCTCTTCAAGACTCCACTCTCAAATCTTTCGCGTGTACACCCAGAAGTGGGACTACTAGATCATAACACAATTTTGTTCTTGAACTTTTGAGTGTACACCGTACTATTTTCCACATTGACTGAGGGAAAGTTCTCCATCTCCCCAGCAAGAGGTAAAAACTCCATTCTTTCTACATCCTTTTCAACCCTTTTTAGTTTCTGTTTCTTTGGTACTAGCCATCCTAACTGTTGTGAGGTGGTCTGTGGTTAATGTCAACTAAGTGCAGATCCTGAAAGTTTTAACATAATGATACAAACGTAGGAAACTGCTATAATGAAATTCTTTGAATGCTAACTTAAACTATAGATTTAAAATGTTAGAAAGTTAGTGTCTTGACTGTTGCAAATGTATAAAAACCTATAACTCAGATTTATTTATTTATTTATTTATCCATCTGCTCTCTTCCCTCAGGTTATCTATTCTTTTTTTAAACTAATCTTTCAGAGGTGCAGCTTACCTGCATATGGAAAGCACAGCCTAGCAGCAGATGTCCTGGTCCTTGGGCTCTTCCACTATTGCTATTGCCTCTTCTGTGATTTTCCCCTGTGCCTTGGGTGTAGGAATTACATTGTAGATCCTCCATTTGTCAATTTTCTACCTAGTCCATTTTCTCTTCATTTTGAACAGTTGTCGATTTCCGTAACAGCCTCTGTCTGCTGCACAAAGAGACTGCTACGGTGAGGGGAGAGAGCTAAATTTATCTGTAGGTGCAGAGGTAGGCATTCAGAATACAGTTGGAGATACATTGGTTTAGAAAAACGGAGCTCTCCAGTCATGAATCGTTAGCAAGTTTATAGTACCAGGCATAAATTCTCTCCTATGGAGACTTAAGTACAATTGAGTAGTTGTTGGTTACCCTTAAGATAAACGTGCCACTGTTGCATGTTCACCGTGAAGACTGGCCATTGTTATAGCTCACAAGCTTTATAGCTGAGTAGGACTATTGGTTTCTTTCCTTACTTGGCAAACAGTACCCTCTGATATCATGAAAGCTAGCCCTCAGAGAGGAGGCTTCTAGGTAAGTTTCAGCTAGATTCTTCTAAATCCTGTGTCTGAGGTATGCAGTCTTTAGCAATAGGATCTTACCTTCAAATCCTGCGAGGCAACCTTGAGGTAGTGGCAATAGTTACATTGCTTAAAAAAAAATAGGCATGCATAATGAAAACACCAGTTGACAAGTCAACATGAACTATACTGTTTAAAGTGACCACCGCACCCCAAGACAGCACCACCAGCTAGAGAATACATGAGCCTCTGGGGGACATTGCACATTTAAACCAAAATACTAATCTTTACCAAATTCCAGCTATAGCCCCACACTAAAATTGACTGGTTTTTGGCTATTCCTTAGTTATAGGAGTGCAAATACCAAAGATATAAACAACCACCTTCTGAAGGCGACTTGTGAAGAAGCCTGTGTACGTCTCTGAGGCCTATATGGCATTTGGGACAGCATTCTGCAGGGAATGTCTTGGTCTGAAATGCATCAAAGGAAATCAGGAAGTGGCAGTGTGGGTTATAAGAGGCCCCATCTTTGTGGCCTTATTTCCTTTGCTCCTGGGTGCGGGGGTGGAACATAGTTGGAACCAGAGCGGGCAGGTTCCTGGATAGCACTTCAAGGCTTGGGGCCACGGGCAGAGCTGCTGTCTACCTGTGATCCCTCTCCAGACACTATTTTACAGCCAAGAGCATCTTGCTTCTTCCTGCTGCACTTTTTAAAACTGTCTTCCCTCTTTCTTTCTCTCACCCTTCTTGTCTTTCCAGCTTTCCTTTTACTTCTCTTTAATTTTTGGATCACTTTTCCAGGTCTCTCCAGCCCCTCTTGTTTTATGTGTGTACAGTCTATTTCTCTCTGCCCAGATCTAAGGGTGCTGAGACTGTTAAATGGCCTTCTTTACCACAACTGCATCTACAGGGAATGACTGACTTGCGTCCCTTTTCTGTGGATCAAAGCTGGAGGCTGAGCCTGCATGGCACGCTTCTCCTTTCTGCACTCATCGTTCCCGACTTTACACTATGAGCCACACTTTGTAATACAGGAGTCATTTTATTTCAAGGCCACAGAAGATGGCCTGCCCTGGTGACCACGTGCTGTACAGGAACAACATTTATTAAGGACTGGTATTACCTGGAGCGGGCTTGTGGAAAGATTGAGTCGCTGTGTCTTGTGAAGGACCTTTCCCCGTTTGGGTTTTACTTCATTTTAATTCAAGGACCTTGTCGGATGCTTGGGATCAATTGATGTCCCAAACTGCCCTAGTTAGCATCTCTGTTGCTGTGACTGAAAGCAACCTGGGGCAGGGGAAGGATTTATCCATCTTGCAGGTCGCAATGCGTCAAAGAGGGGAAGACAAGACAGGTGCTAAAGAAGGGAGATTGACGCAGAAACCGGAGGAACCCTGCTGCCCGGCTTGCTTTCAGACTCTCGTGGCGTGATTTCTCATGTAACCCAGGCCCATCTGCCTAGATTTGGACCTTCCTCCATTACCTAGCAGCCAAGAAGATGCCCCACAGATACACCCACAGGCATTTCTTCAGTAGAGGATACCCCTTTCCAAGTGTATCAAGTTGATAACTGAGATTAGCCACCACAGAAACAATGTGACAATATTAATGAACTCCCCAATAAAGCCTTTTCCGGATTCTGATTCCAGACTTTCTTTTTGGCTTAAAAAGATTGTTCCATCTTCTAGCGAGCAGCATATTTCCTGTTGCTCAGTTAAAAGTTACTTCAGTTTCTACAGAATTTCCACACTTTTCATGTCCACATGTGCCACACAGAGAGGTAACTAAATTATGTGCCAGTCAACGGCATCTCCAGTAAAGACCTAAGCTCTAAATACTAATGCATGATCTTTAAAAAAAAGAACAGCTAATCATGCTAGAAAGTCACATCATGATAAAAAAAATCTCCGGAATATTAATTGCACAGAGAACAAAAGGCATCTTAACTTTAACTCTTTTGCATTTAAGCAAAGTTGAAGCCATTCTCTTTATATGCATATATCAAGATGTTCCCACTATATCATAATGTACAAGATTAATGATACTACAAAGTAAAACTAAGTGGATTTAAAAATAGATCTTTCAGCTCCTCATCCCCGAAGGTATAATTTGAGCTTAGAGAAGTGAAGCACAGGAGGTATGGACCATTATAAAATGCTCAATTTTTTTGATATGATCTGTTTAGTGAATTTTTACATTATTAGGAGTTTTGAAATACAGAGATTTTTATGAAAATATATATTGTTGTTTTCAGTTCCTAGTACATATAATTTGAAAGTTCATGAAGAAAAAGTATCAATAATTGCTTCAGCTCATGATCTCAGTTATTGCTAGTCTCATAAATAGATTAAATGAAAATGATTTATTTTTTCCATAACAAAATTGTTCTAAGCAGTATTTTTCAACATTTCTAGCAATATATATGTTATATAAGCAACATAAACATTTGGTATAAAATTTCAAACTCTTTATGAGAGTTCAAAGTAAAAAATTAAGATTTCCTCTGGAAAAAATGATATATATTTTGATGGCCCAAATAAGTAAGTGAAAGAGGAAGAGAAAGGGGGCATGAATTTTCTTTCTCCTCATCTTTCCTATTAAAGCAGGTTTTGTATTTCTTTAAAAGATAGTATTGATGTATAATCATTTATCTCTTACACAAAACTTGGTTTCCCTTTTAAGATATTCTTGTTAGAAACTGACTCCAATGTTATGTTTTAATTATTATTTTATGATTGCAGACTGTTGTCATACTGAATTTTTTATTGCGTTTTGATTCAGCCTTACTGTTTATTGGGTTTCATAAATTTTCTGATCATTTCCGTGTCTAAAATTTGATCTGTTTTGCATTCATATCTAGTTGATATTTTAGGCAAATATAGTTACAAATTCAATTTTTTAAATAGTTAGACACCATTCTGAATCCCACTCTCTCATACGTAACTGTTCTTCGCAGGCTTTTACCTTTTCCTTTGTGTCTGAATAATGTCTGGTTCATTTCCATAGCGGGTTGGGTCTGTTGCTTGCTGAGGCAGTACATCTTGGTGGGGGTGCGTGACTAGCAAAACCACTTACGTCATTATCGTGAAGGGAACTGGACAAAGACTACAATCCCAAGATTTCATTTAAGCTTGTCTCCACTGACCTAAAGTCTTCTCCCTCTGTTTCACTTCTCAGAGTTTCCAAGAAGTGCCAAGTTATGGAGCAAGCCTTCACTGCACGGACTTTTGGGGAAAGTTGACGATACAAATAATACCTCTGGGAAATCGCTTCACCACAAAGCAGCTGAGTGGGCCATTTGTTGGACTGTGTTGAGTTGACAGCAGCAATGGGCTAGAAGAACCATGAGGATTCCCTTTGTTGCGCTGGTGTTCCGTCACACCTTTTCTTCTACCAGTTGATCTTCACTTAACTGATTTCTCTTGCAGTCTGGCACCTGACATTTCCAGAGAATGAGGAGACAGAGGTGTACAGCAGCACCTTGTCTCTCAGAAGCTGTGTTATGTTAATCAAGGCAAGTTCTGAGCTTTAGTCTAAGTTTAGTTTTGCTGGAAAGTGTGACAAATTTTCATAGGAAAAAAAAATGTGGGATAGGAGCTACTGTCAGCTCTTTTTGGAAGCAATCCACAAAAAACATGCCATCCGAAGAATTTTTTGAGTTCTAGAAGATCTCCTTTCTTTAATTTATTGTTTTTTCTCTATTCTACAATCTAGAAACTCCTGTTATGTGTGCATTAAAACTGCTGAATGGATTGTCTGTATCCTTTCTTCCAAGTTGGTTTATCTTTAATTAGATTTCTTTGACCATCCCCCTAAATCCACTAATGAATTTTGTATGTTTTTGACATTGTGAGTTCTTTGGTACTCTTTGGTTGGATGGTTCTGAGCAGTGTGTATTTGTTTTCTTTAAGGCTGAGAATTACTTTCTGTTGCCCTAACCATTGCTGCTTTATTTTGTCGCTTGTTGTTTTATGTCTTCATCACCTGAGGAACAATGGACACAAACAAACATGTTCAGCACAGGTAAACTGACTTGAGTTTCCTCTGCAGCTCTCCCCAGGCTTGTTGCACCAGTGAGTTCCTTCCGGTCATGGAGGGCCTGAGGTAAATATCACCACTGAGACACCCCCTTGAAGAACTAAAGATTGATCACAGGAACAGCAGGCAAGCTGACCAAGCTGACCCTGGTTCATGCTAATAAAGAAGGTTAGCCTGTACACATCACACACACACACACACACACACACACAGAGAGAGAGAGAGAGAGAGAGAGAGAGAGAGAGAGAGAGAGAGAGACTGGCACCCATAAAAAGTGAACATGCACACAGAGGAATCATTTTTCTACACTAACCACATATTTTACACTTTGCCCTCCATCCTTCTCCCTTTGTGTATATGTCAGTGTTCCCCGCTAACTCAGATGCTACCAGGCCAATCCCATGCTCTTCCCACATCTGCTCTATGCGTTTTCAGTCTGCTATCTAGGAGAAAGCATAAGAATTTCCGATGTTGCTGGATATTTTCAATAGCCTTCAAAAAAGATCGCACCAATTTATCCCGCCACGAAAAAGAAATAAGTGCCCAACCCCTGTCACCTCTTATCTCTACAGTAGATGAGCAAACTTTCCTGTCATTGTGCATTTTGCAAGTTAGAAAGTGGAATTGATGATCTCATTATTCTCTTGAGCAGATCATGTGTGTCTTAAGTAAATTTTTGGTGAGGGAAACACCTGGGAAGTGTTTTCTGAGCCTTTGTATGTCCAGGGTTCTCATTTTGCATGTCCACATGCATGACAAACCTGAGAGTTCTAGGTTGACTCTACCATTGCATCTTTAATAGTGAGAAGCACTCATGAGGATAGTCTGATTTTCAGTTTTGCACATAGACTAGTAGGGTTTCGCATCTCTGAAAACAGTGGGAGTTGTTTTTGTTGATGTCTGTTTGTTTGCTGTTTAGACATAGTTTTCTAAGTGTGTGTGCATCATGTTGTGTGTCTCTGTGTGTATTCTGGTGTGTGTATGTGCATTCTAATGCATTCATGTATAGGTATGGATGTGCATTCTGGTGTGTGTGTCTCTCTCTGTGTGTGCGTCTAAATTGCCTTGAGAATCTTTTCTTACAATGTTATTACTGCCTCTAGTTTTGTCCTGAGGCAGACAGTCATGTAACTGTTTATTAGCTCCCTATTCTCTGTGTCTGTCATTTTATATCTTGTCCACATCTCCTTCATTAATACTTGGATTAACACAAATATTTCCTATGCAATTTAAAACTTACTAAAAGACTAGAATATTTTTGTTATTTTTAAATGTATTTTATTACTACAATGTTGGAACTGTTTCCTTGCTGAGTACACATATAATATACTTACAAAAGGTTTTCATTGTCTGTAGCCCAATACAATTTTTGATCAAATAGGCAGACATTACCAAATCCTTTGTCTGTGAAAGTCTCAGCGCATTGCTTATATAAACATATCCATGCTAGGAATTAAAAGTGTTGGGGGTGACATGTGTTGAACATTGCACATTGCACCAATTATGAGCTTACTTTCAGAACGATTGAATAATTAAACATTAGATAGCCACAAAATTCTTGCAAACAATCATTCTCCACTTCTAACTGCCAGTGTCAACACATAAATAAATGAGTTTCATGAATCACTAGTCTAGGTAATTGCGAATGAATTGGCTGGAGCAATTGTGTAGAAATCATGCCCAATGGAACCGTCATGTATTGTTAGTAAGAACAACATAGAGCGTGGTTTGAAATGTCTTGGTGCTCATCAGAAGCATTCGGTAATGCACATATTCTAAGTTTTGGAGATGCACGGTCCATTTAATACATGGTGCCTATGGAAAGGCTTCAACTGCCTAGGTATACTACATTGGATCATCCCACTAGCCACCAAAATATGGGATGCATATTGCATTTGGTGCTGCAGCTGTGTCTCCAGCTATTCTTTTAGAGTTGACTGCATCCTAGGCACAAAGGCAGCAAAGGATGTTGTTGTTTATTCATTCAACAAACATTTTTTTGGCTCCAAATTCAAACCCAACATTCTTCCAAACACAGGCAGTGAATAACCTGAGAATCTTGGGAAGGTTATAACGGTGAGATGTCAGACTTTCTGCTGCCGTGATGAAATAACTCCTGTAAACAACCTAGGTGAAGAGAGATGTATTCTTGTTCCTGGATTCAAAGGCGTGAATCAGTCACATGTGGATGCTTTGTTAAGGAAGCACACATCATGGTGAATAGGAAGCAAAGAGATGAGATATCAGTCAAACCTTCAATGACTTTCCTCCTCCTGTGTGGCCCTACTCTCCTTGGTCTCCACCGTCTCCCCAAGCAGTACTATAAGCTCAAAAGACCAAACACCCAACTGACACCAACCTCTGAGACATAGTTTGCATATTAACCATAGCAATTGACAAAGGGCCAGATAAAAGCATACGAACAGGTAAGCTCGACAAGAAGCCGGCAGTTAGACATAGTGTATAGGAAAGTCGGGTATGCTGAGGCTCCTTGGAACTTCTCATTCAATATCAGTGGAGGCACAATTTTTTTTAATATTTCTGCCTTAATCTTTCCATTTCTATTCTACTAATGGAAATCTATGCTGATAAGAGAGTCAATAGCAGTACTATCTCTACCTAGAATTCCAGGACAGAGAAGCAAGACCTGGACCTGATGGCCCTGCTCCATTTCTTGCTTGTTCTCTCTCCTTCCTGGGTACGAATGAGATGCGATCTCTCAGCTTCCTGCTGTGCTGTCATGGCTTCCACACTATTATGGACATCTACACCTGTGGACCTGCAATCCAAATTAACCTCTACCTTAAGCTTTGGTGTTGACAGAGGTTTCTGTCACACCTGGTCCACAGCCATTAAGTCCCAAAGAAACACACAGAGGCCTATATTAATTATAATATTATTGGTTGGTCTTTTAGCTTAGGCTTTCTTATTAACTAACTCTTATATTAACCCATAATTCTTGTCTGTGTTAGCCACATGGCTTGGTACGTTTATCAGTGAGGCATTCTCCCCTTGCTTCCTCTGTGTCTGAGTGACAACTGCAAACTGAGTCTTTCCTCTTCCCAGAATTCTTCTGTTCTGGTTTCCCTGCCTATACTTCCTGCTTGGCTACTGGCCAATCAGTGTTTTATTAAACCAATGCAAGTGACAAATATTTATAGGGTGTAAGACCATTGTCCCAAAGCACTTTGGTCATGGCATTTTATCACAGCTCAGAAAAGCATGCCATAGCTTTAATTGTGTTTCCCTAATGAGCAGTCTTGTTTGGCATCTTTTCACAAGATGGTTGGCCATTTGTCTGCCTTCTTTATCCCTTGTTGGTGTTGAGCTATGTGGTGCTTTATACTAGACAGTGATTCCTTATCAAATAATATAGTTTACATTTTCTCTGCATCTCTAGTTTGTCTTTTGACAATTTCTATTAATTCACAGCCAACTTGATGATCTGATTTGTGAACAATACGTTACGTTCTCTGATTATGATTGATTATCTACAATTTATCTTGTTGTTTTGCTATATATATATATATATATATATATATTCATACTTACACACGCACACATATTGAACCAGTGTTTCTCTTTGTAACTTTCCTAGCTGTCCTGGAACTTACTTTGTAGACCAGGCTACCCTCGAACTTAGAGAGATCCACCTGCTTCTGCCTCCCAAGTGCTGGGGTTAAAGGTGTGCATAACCACCACCCAACCTAGTCTTACTATTACATAAAATTTTGTTTACTGTGTGGTTTTCCAGTGAACTATTCCTTTTTTTTAATCAATGGAAAATATAACTAAAAATGTATTTTTCTTATAAATCTATCTTATTAGATATTGACTGGTGCTAACCATTGTGTAGTTTCTTTTAACATACAAGATTTTATAATGAGAAACTGTTTGGGAGTGTGTGTGTGTGTGTGTATGTGTTTACTACCTACCCAGTGTTTTTCTCTACTACATATCACTTTATATTTGAGATACAGTTTTTCACTAAACCTAGAGCCTACTGCTTCACTAGCATTAGCTGGCCAAGGATCCCCCAGGATTTCTTGTCTCTTCTACCTCCAGGGCTGGGATCCAGGCATACCTCCACCTCCATTCTGCTTTATAAACCTAGGTGTTGTCAATAGAAACTCAGGCCCTCATGCTTGAACAACAAGCATTTTACCCACAAGCCATCTCCCCAGCCCTGAAAAAAACTTATCTATCTGTCTGTCTATCTATCTATATCTATCTATCTATCTATCTATCTATCTATCTATCTATCTATCTATCTATTTTTGGCAGAGCTGTCTCAGGCTGACCTTATACCTTCCATATTCCTGCCTCAGCATCCAGAGATCTGGGGTTGCCAGCACCTACCATCAGACCTGGCTCCAAAAGTTTTTTAAGTAATATATTTTAGTTTTATGGGTATGTTTGTATGTGTGAGTGCACATACATACACCATATGTATGGAGGTACCTGCAGAGGTCAGAAGAGGCCATCAGATCCCTTGAAACTAGAGTTGTAGGCAGTTGTAAGCCACCCTG